TAGAAGCGATGCACTTGTTTCTAATAGCTTCTTGTTTCTAATAGCTTCTTATTTGTAATAGCTTCTTGTAAAGGGCTTTGCACATTTTTTCACCACACCAGGCTGTGGATCCACAGAGCATCCTGTTGCCGACTGCCCGAGCCGAGAAAAGACCTGTGAGTATTGTGGCGCTTGGGCCGAAATTTGCATTGCTGTCCTGGCGACATTGAGCACGGCCCCCAAATAGGGACGCTTCTTTCAGCGGTGCCTGAGGCAAAATTGGCCATTTGAAAAAGAAGTGCTACCAGAAATGACACTCTGATTCAGCCGTGCCCCTTGGATGTTTCAGCTCAGCTGTCACTGAGGATCACGGATTCTTTAGAATGTTTCAATCAAATTAGCTCTTCACCACTGTTTCAAGATGTTTCAAGACTGGACGCAACTCCTGCAACTTAGGTTTTGGTTTGGTGCAAGCAGACATCAGAATTAACAAAGCGATACTTAGAGATTTGTCACGCAACAGGGCTCCGAGAACAGTGACAGAAGAAACCACTCTAATTGATGGTCCCTGACCTAAAAACAAGGAAGACATGATAAACATTGTGCAAAAGCCGCTTAGCCGCTAAGGATAACACAGCAAAGGGGCTTGGCGACATCACTGAGAGCTTGAGTTAACTCGCGTCGATTTGTGTACACCTCTATATACAACACTATACAAATATGATGAGTTGTTCTTTCTTCAATGGACTGTTGGACGATCACTGATCACTATGCTTTGTCCTTTCAGTGAGTATCAGCTTTCAAAGCAAGGGTGATAACGCAGCATAGTCCAGTAGTGTTCCCAAAATGTGGCTTGAGTCGAACTTTCGATATTTTCAAGGTGCCTCAATGCACAATACGGGCCCCATATATGTCCCAAGACTTGAAGGTCCTCTCCCCGGCCATTCCTAGCTTGTACTTCAAAGGCACCATGTTTGATACGCAACCACCGAAAGCTCGACGGTTAGCTGCCTAAGTTTCTTAATCCTGCACCAAAACCGATTGCGAGTTGCCAAACCGCAGTGCTCAGAATCGGTTTTGCGCAACAGATCGGCAGGTTCATGTTTTGGCCGGAACGGGAACCATTTCTCAAGCCCCAACAATGTTTGGCAGAGGTTGGAAGCCCGAGCCTGGCCTTGTTTGAAAGGTTTCAGCGAGAGGCCCGTTTGGTGCCTGATGCTCCAGAAACTCTAATGCGCGTTTGGATACTTTTCAGGAGTCTTTACATGGACTTTGAAGCGCAGCTTACCTTGATCTTTCACGTTTCATCCGGATGAGCATGTGTCATTGCACTGTACAAGTCCATCGTGTGAAGAATGTACGTCGCTACAGAGGCCGGAGCAAGTTGGTCTGGATTGTTCAGAGCTGATTGCAGCGAATACAAAAGAAGGGCAGACAACTCACGGCTAAGCAATGAGTTTATGAGAAACCCTTTAAAGCGCAAAGCTGCTACTGTATGACTATGGCCTGAGATTGGTAGGGAAGAGTGAAGCTCAGAACAATGATGACGCGGCCTGAGATTGGGGCGACTTGCAGGGAGCCAGGGAGGACAATCTGTCCTACAGCCGTTCAAGCAACATATTTAACAATACTCGTACTTGGCCGATGAGATTGATGGCCAATATTGCAGTGTAGGGGTCAGATGATTCCCAGAACTGCATGACCTCACTCGTGGTGCTGAGAAGCAGAGTGCTAGAGGGATCTTTGCTTGATGCCACTCAGGCAAGCGATGCTCCGAAAGCAGACAACAAGCCTTTTTGGCGCTTGGAAGAGCCATGTGCGGGAGTGCGATTCGATGCACTCACCAAAGCGTCTCGAATCTGGTGTTTTGCACAGGTTGGTCGGATGCACTTACACCGGAAGGCTATGGTTGAAAGCTCAGGGCCGGTGAGGGCAACCAGAAGTTTGGAGATTACACCCGCTCGGAGTGAGTTTAAGTGAGTTCTTTGAATGTTCTTTGAGGCGAAGAAACGACGAGCGTTGTTGGCAGCGGTACCCGGGTCTTGTCTTCAAACGACGGTCTCAGATATCTACGCGCAGAAAGCCTGCTTTGCAGATTGAACTAGCCCTAGCCAGGTGTTTGGCCTTTGGAAAGAGCAAGGCAGGTGCAGCTTGGTCATTTTATTTGGCTTCATGATGTTTCATGACTCTTGACCTTAATTGTTCGCCTGATTCCTGCCTTGCGCTGACCCCGCCTCCACCTGGGCTGCCCCCTAGATCTAGCACCCATCGCAGTAAGTTTGTACTCTATGTTGCCAGAGGTGCTGAAGCTTTGAAGGAGGAGTTCGACCAGCTTTGGTTGAAGGTGTCCGTTTGCTGCTAATGAAGTTCAGAAGTCTCCAACTTGCTGGTGGGCTGCAAGCACTTGCTGTTGTTTTTTGTTGGGTACCTGAACTTTGCTTTTCAACATTCTTGAAAATGCATCAAGATGCGCATGAACATGCAGCGTAGGCTGCGCTTCTTTGTGCAGCACGTCCGTTGAAAACAGGACCGATTCACTCTCTGTGAATCTCTCACTTCCAAGTGTCAACTTGCGCAACTTGTAGTGCAGAAAGTGGTGCATGCAGCGTGTAGGTGTAGTGTAATGTATAGTTTTCAGCAGTTGTGTTGATTGTAGGACTTGAGGCGGTTCCACAACGATCCTGCTCAAGCTGAAAGTAGTGAACGAGTCAGCTTGTTCTCAATTGAATCGGCAAGCCAATCGGCAATTCAGAGGGCTGCAGCTGTGGCTTTGCATTACATGACATCTTTAGAATATACAGCGTTTCTTCAATTTTTGCAAGTGACCGAGTGTACACTGCTTGAGGTTGCGCCACCAAAGCCTCTTGTTTGTTCTTGCTACAGCTGTTGAATTCGGGGGGGCGCAGTTCTCGAGAGACTTGGGGAAAGAAGCATGCCCACTGGGTGATTCTTGCAAGGACTTCATTGATGATTTTGGAATCTTCGGTCGGTGTGACTTTCAAGTCGTGCCCAAATGTGCTTGTAGCAACTCTCCCTCAGCTCAAGAGACGAAATGAAAAGAGATCAGAGGAGCAGTTACTGTACCTTATCATTCAAGTTCCGGTGAACTTGTTGGTAGCAACTGAGAAAGATTAGATGCTCTTCCGAAATAAAGTGGGGTACTTTTAGACGAACTAAGATATGGATAGATATGGCATAGTCTATAGTCAACCCATAGGCCGAAATTGTTAGTTTTGTTCAATAAGTTACTAGACAATATGAGGACACCAATCAGCATATTTCGTACCTCGCCAGCATACATCCAGTATGGCTATTTTTGGCGGATCGGCGAATGGTATCGAAAGAGCACATGACATATGAGCACATACATACTACAGCGGACATCAGCGGACTCAAAAAACACCTTGCGCGGTGTGGCGAGTCTTTTTTGTGCAATGGCTTCGCCCAACAAACCGGCGTCAGAGCCCAACATCGACAACAAGATGGCCAAGGGGAGCCCCAGGGCTGGTGCCATGGTGACTCTGGCTTGTTTTGCAATCTCCAAAAGGAAACGAGCAAGACATCCATTCAATTCTATTCAATACATATCTATCTGTATACATATGTGTAAATATGGATATATATATATTTGTATTTTCTACAGTAGTGGATCTCTCTTATGTGCGTGGTTCCAATCAATGACTTCTCAGTGCAGACAGGACCGCCAAGAGTCCCCACCGCCTGGCCACTTCGCACGCATCCGTGAGCTGTCACCCTTCGCGGCCTCGGAACTGCCGACGCTTCATGACATGGCGGCTGAGCTGTCGACGAAGGCGACCGAGTTCTCAGCCAAAGCCCAGGCAACTGCCACGGAGCTGTCGGCCAAGGCCACAGAGTTCTCGGCCAAAGCCCAGGCAACTGCCACGGAGCTGTCCGCGAGAGCACAAGCAACGGCCACAGAGCTCTCGGCCAAGGTGGATGAAAAGTGCAAAAAGCAAATCGTTGGAGCACTGAACTTTGAAATTGGTTTTATAATCCTTCGTCGTCCTTTGTTTGCAGATAGGGACACTGTCTCTTAATTCTGCAGCTGAGTAGTTATTGAATGCGCCTTTGTTATCCCTTGATTCTGTGTCCGACTGTGTGCCTACCCTGCAGGCACATGAGCTGTCAGATTCAATTTTTAATCACATGTTCCGCTATGAGTCCGCCGCGGAAGCACGCCGCCGTGCTTTGATGCTGGTGGATGTTCTGGTGGTCGCTATACTGGAAGATTTCTGTGGGCTAGCTGGCTAGCTTAAGCATTTTGTTTTAACTAGGCTGCAAAACAACAGGTTTTGGACTTGGCCAGCTCTTGCTACTGCGAACACGCATGCATTTAAAGAGTATGCATTTCAGTTGTTTATGGCTTGAGTGCGATTGCACATTGTTCTTTCCACCATCATGAGACAGGTTTGGTAGGGGGGTTAACTTGTGACATTTTGTGACTGTGTGTTGTTAGAAGCGTTAGATATCTTTAGATCATTTAGAAGGACACCCTTAGGTACCCAAAGCATCACCAATCTAAGGAGCGGCACAGTGCGGGTCGGCTCAAGAGGCGCTGGGTCTTTGCTGCGGCCTTCGTGACGTTTTGCTATTTGCACTACATCTTGCCGGTCTTGGCCTGCTGGGGCTCAAGACGATGGGAGCAGACTCTTTGTCGAATATGGTCCAGATGGAATAAATGTGATGAGGGAAGGCCTTTGGGAAAGAACCATTGGGAGGAATTGTGGACTGTTGCTCCGGCATGGAATTGTGGCGGACCTGCAGAATAGAGTTGCATGACATGCACACATGAAAACCATTGGCAACCCTTGCTTATTGGCATATCTTTGCTCAAGCGCCATCAAACCCGGCTTGCCCTTCTTTCTTGTGAACATCGAGCGCTTGTCAAGTTTTCTTGATTTTCCCAATGCTCAACTCCCAACTTTAACAGGGAACCCTAGGGTCGCTGACCGTGCAAAGGAGTGTGGACGCCAGCGAGTTTGAAGCGACCGTCGGAGGGCATAACTCCCACGTCAGTTTTGCAGTGCTCGTGGTCGTCTCCCTTGGTGCCCTGGAAGGAAAATTGTCCGAAAGGCCAACAACTTTGGCACTGCTGAATTGTGCTCTTCAGAGAGGTCGATTGCATTCGATGACCCATTTTGACTTCAGGATACCTTTCCATGCTTCACTGCTCGTCAAGATTGATGGAGGCTCAGTTTTGTGGTTTCGAGTGGCCAATCTTGCGTCATATTGTGTCATTAATGATCAACCTGTTGTTTGATGTTGTTTGTGTGGTTCTTGTGGCGAAATCTATCTCGGCTGAGCATTTTCCGGCTCAACGCGACTTGATTCTTTGATCTGTGACGCATTTTGCATCTTTTTGAAGATGTGCGACACCGAGTGCTTGATGGAGGCTGACCCCCGCACTGCTCACACTACAACTGAGTGGGCATATGTGGGCCAGGGCCGTGGTGCCTATGCGAGCAAAAGCCAGATTGAGTTTGTGGGAGAAGGACGCGGTGAATATGCTAAGGAAGCGGCTCTTCAGCACGTTGAGCAATTGATCACTGTGGATCATTGAAAACTCTGGATTTGAGCTCCACAGACCTTAAAGACCTAAAGATGGGTTGCCACATTTGACCGCCGGTAGACCTGCCACAGTTTAAAGTCTCAACTTTGGATAACTTCGTTAAACAATAAAAAAATCTCGAACACAACAGAGCAATCATGAGTATTGCCAAGGTCAAGACGACCTACACCGGGTATCAACTTCGCCCTTGGGTTCCTTGCTGCATCCTGCTTCCTTTCTTGGGCCTCCTGGCTTACTTCTTGTGGCCTCGTCCGGCCGCAATGCCCGCAAAGTCACCCATGCCTGACTGCACAACCGACTACGACAACTGGCAAGTCATGTGGTCTGCAGACCGTGCCGCTTGGTGCTGCTCCAATCAAGGCAGGGGATGCCCACCTCATCGTGAGCACCGTCATGTCATCTACGTGAATGTGCCGGCCCCCGCGCCTGTTGTGCACTATCATCATTCCCATTTCAAGTATGACTGCCACAGTGGATACTCCAACTGGTACTTTGGATGGTCTGCTCATAAGAAGGGATGGTGCTGTCAGAATGCCAACATGGGATGCCCAGGCACATGGCATGGATCCTATCACCTCTCGGCCCACATGATGCATGGCGTTGGCCATGCCCACGGAAGGATCTACGATTGCAACGCAGGCTTTTCCAACTGGATGCAAGGATGGTCTGACTCCAAGAAGGATTGGTGCTGCCAGCACAACGCCCGAGGATGCCAGAAGTTCCATTGCACAGGTGCTAGCGCCATGTGGGGTACCGAGAAACGCGACTGGTGCTGCAACAACTTCCAAAAGGCTTGTCCAAGGACCAGGGTCGGGCAAGGCTTTCAGTCTGAACCACCAACTTGTATATGAACATATGTGAACATCTCATATGCGGTTTAAAAGATTGCTCAGGTGTTTAAGCAGTTCAATGTAGAAAGGCATCGGAGCAACATCGTTGCCCTGTCAAGGACCACTTTGTCTCCGCTTAAGTGCGATGCCGTTTGCCATATCAATGGCGAAGGCTCCAAGTGCATTGACCGCATCAAGTGGGTCTCAGAGCATGTGTTTGGTTCCAAGTCAAACAAATGCGCTTTGGCATACAGCAAGATCCAGGTGGATTGCGACGTCTGCCGAGGTTGCAGCATTCAGGACGCTGGCTGCGAGGTCGAGGTCAGTGGACGCGATCCCTTCGACTGCAACGCGGCCCTGAACAACTTCTTCCGCGCCTGGTCTCCTGAGAAGAAGCACTGGTGCTGCACTAAGCGAGGCAAAGGCTGTGAAGGTGGCCATGCACCATCGGTGGATGCTGGTGCTGGAATGGTGTGGAAACATGTTCAAGTGAATGGCTACTGGACCTGGCAAGCCGTCCATGGTCATGGTGTGGTAAGTGCTCCTTATGATTGCCATGCAGGCCTCAACAATTGGCACATTGGATGGTCAGCTCCCAAGAAGACCTGGTGCTGCAACAATCAGCACTTGGGCTGTGGTGGTGGAGCGGGCGGTGCAGTCCATGTTGTCCACCATGCCGGTGGTGCTTACCATGCCGGTGGTGCATATCATGCCGGTGGTGCATATCATGCAGGTGGCTCGACAGTCGTCCACCACGTGGTTCACCATGTCGTGCACTGAGTGAAATTCTTCGAGCCGCATTGTAGACCCGACATCGTCGGCAGGTGCTAGTCTGGAATACCAGTAGGACCTGAGTCTACCTGTGCCTATATCTGTACTGTGCTTTTAAAAAGTGCAGAGGATCTCTCGCAATACGAAGAACTGCTTTTGAGAGGTCAAAGTACCCAGGTGTCCCAGTGACACCGGCACTGTACTGTACTTTCTGGTGAAAAATTAGGAGTGCTAAAGGACGTACGAGGATTGAGCAGCCCGTTTGATTGTCCTGTCTAGAGAAGTCGACATGACCGTGCTTTGCCGTGCTTTGTGTTTGAAGATTTTGAAGGCTAGATTGCCCATCCAGAGCAGCATTTTTGAGATGCTTGTGGTCTACAACATGACTCAAATGCTCTTCAATGCCTTCGTTTGCAGTCAGCTCCTTCGAGAAGCGTACCTGTGAGTGGCTCAATTCCTTTGAACACGTCCTTCTATTCAAAGCGATGCATTTCTTGAAGCTTGCCATTGTAAGGCAAGGCTTCACTAGGCCTTGGGGCAACATCTTCACATACACCAAGGCCGGCCGGAAATGTTGTGAACAAAGGGGCCCTTACTTTCTTGTTCCCCACCTGCCAGGTGAGGTGAGGGTTGTTAGATTTTTTCAGAGCTCTTCTCCTTTTCCTCTTCCTCCTCCTCCTCGCCAGCAAGTTACAGCAAGTGGCAGAGCGCAGTGGGCAAGTGCCAGATTGCAGTGGGCACTGCCGGACATGCCAGATCGCAAGTCCCCGATCGCAGTGGGCATGACACCTCAACCGCCAGCTCCCGATCACAGTGGGCACTACTGGACCTCAAAACACAACCACACAACATGTCCACAAACACGCAAACACCACCACAATCACAACCACAAACACAATCACAAGCATACAGCCACCAACACACGACCTCACAAACATGCCGCAACAAACACACAACCGCAGCCACAGCCACAATCACAAACATACAGACAAACACAAAGCCACAACACACAACACAACCACAACACATAACCGCAACCACGGCACACAACCACAACATACAACCACAACGCTCAAACACAACCACGAACACACAACTACAACAATATAATTACCTATGTGCCTGGTGTTTTGCGTGGCAGGTGGTCACAGGGTAGCACTTTCGGATGCCAACTGGAGACCGTGGCGACACCCCGACGCGAACTCCCTAACACTGAAATAACAATCCCAAGCCCGGACCCACAAACAAAATCAAAAACCACAAAACTCACGACCAAATGGCAACATCCTCCTCACCATGGCATGAAAACAAATGGTTGAAGTGCCATGGTAGGGTCACTCGAAGTAAAGCAACTTTTTCTTGCTTTATTTGTTCATCCAAAGGGTGACACGAAGCAGAACTTGACTTTTGGGACTGTGACTGAGACGTAGAGTTCCGCCACCAAGAGAGGAAGGTCACCGACTTGGTTATTTCATTTGGCTTCATTATCACGGCTGCCAACTGGAGCTCCTGGATACGCCACTTAGCTGTTAGCAGCTGTTTAAAGTTCAGCTCTAACAGTTCAGTCACAACAGATGGAGATTCTGTGTCAATGCTAATGCATGCTAATGCTGAGATGGCAAAGTAAGTGATGCAGGGCAGGCTGAGCTTCACAAGATCCCGATGCGAAACGCAAACGGAACGAATTTGCATGCATTTGCAATTTATTTAATCCCTTCTTGCCCCTAGTGTGCAGCCAAGGCTTTTTGTTGTCATTCGGAAGAAGCTCTGACGCAATCAATGGTGCAGATGTGGCTACAGTCAATCAACCTGCAGCATTGAAACGTTTCTCGTGTTCCTGAGGAAATTTCAAAAGATTACCTTTCTGCATGTTTGGACGCGGCCTCAAAGCATCCACCAGTATGGAAAGCAACACCATGTCCATGTCCCTATTTTGAAGATCAGACATGATGGGTCAATGATTAAAAGATAAATCGCAAGTGCTTGATGCGGCAATTTTTGTTTGAGGCTCCGTCTCTTGAACATGTGGGGCTGGTTCTTTGCATGTCGCTATGCCTGCGGTGGCGACACCTACTTTCCCGCCTCTGTCAACTCGGCCACTCGGGCTGTCCCTTTGGCTGCCGCAGATTCAGAGAGTGTTCTACTTAAACCAAGCAGCAAGCAGCTTCCACCCAGCTTCTCGGTCCGCTTCACCTTGTTCCCAGTCGCTTCCATCCAAGGTTGTTTACGCTTTCTATAGCTGGTCTCTTCTGACGGAACGTGGAGTTCCACTGGTGCAAAAGGCTCACATCACAGAGCTCCAGATGTTTCAGCTGCCGGGCGGAAACCCAGAGGTGTTTGCTTGCTGTTTGGATGTGTTTGTCTTCGAACGTTCACAAGAAGATACAAGAAGTCTTGTAGGTATAACATGGTATATATAGCTCTTCTGGCCCAAAGCCTAGGAGCTGGTGGGGAACAGGCCCCCCGTGGTTCCGGGACACTGCGCCTAGCGGTGTACGGAACGTCCACAAGGGCCACTCCAAAGGTGGCTTGCCATTTTTGTGGACCCTTTGTTCTCACCGCTTCCTCCACGCCTTTGTGAGCCATGTTGGATCCACATGTGGTTGATTGCCTCCGTGCACCTTTTGATGGTAGACTGGCAGGGCTGGTCCAGGTGTTGTCCACTACAACACATACCCCTACTCTGGACGGCTGCACTGTCACCGCTGGCGAGGTGATCGACTTCGGACATGACTTTGTCCACATGCTCCAAGCCCCATTTGTGCCTATGCGTGGTTTCGATTTGGCCTCTAAGGACTGTCGCTCGTGCATCATCCGGGTGCCTCAAGCTACTGAGAGATCCATCTCTCTGTGCAGAGGTGGCCGGGTGGTGATTGCTGGACCTTTGAACTCAGTGAAAGTGGATGGGGAGATCTGCTTTGATTCGAAGGCTGTGGTGATTCACCGGCCAGAGCTGCAGACAGATTTGACATGGACGGTTGTTCACGCCTTCTCGGGAGTGTTTGGCGGGTGGAAGCAAGCTATTCATTGGCTGTCCAAGAAGGGATCATCGGCCATCTTTGGCAGGCACATCTCAGTCGACGCAAGTGAGGAAGTGATGCGAGTTTGGGAAGCCAAGCACGAGAAGAAGGCCTTCTGTGCACCTTTGCTCCCTACACTCTCTCATGCCTCCTGGACTTGGGGGTTTGGAGAATCCTTGAGCGTCTCTCTTTGGGATGGACCCCGTATCAATGGAATTTTGTGCTGTGCATCCCTGACTTGGGTGTCTCCTTCGCATGCACTGCTGAACCACATCAGCGCACCATCTTGTGTGCTGCAATCCAGAGCCTGGCTTCCATCAGCACCGATTTCTGCGGTCAGCTTGGCCTCCCACAGGATGTCGTGGCGCTCTCTGTCACACCTACTGCTGCTTGCAGTAGTGCAAGTAAGCTCATCACTGTCTTTCTTCAGACCGACACTGGCCCTTGCATATGGGCATGCAAGCTTGACACTCAGCAAGATCGAGCTGTCACTTTCATCATGGGCGGAACACTCTACTCCATCACCAAGATTGGCCAGCACCTGGACGCACCTCACAAGCAAGGGCTCACGCACGGCATGCTCTTGCAAGTTGCACCAACACCTGCCATCAAGGCAGGAGGGCACCACCAGTCCCAAGGCGCCCCGCCTTCCATCCCAGCCCAAGCAACCTTCACCCAAAGGGCAGAGTTTGCCACCAATACCCACGGATGGCTTGCAGCCGATGAGATGGTCTTCACAACACAGCTGCTCCAATGGTCCACGACTGCTGGGCCCCAGTACTCACCACCAGTCTATTGGGACGTGTCTCAATCTGAATTTGAAGATGGACCCTTCGGGCCCATGAATGTCTTGGATCATGGAACCACGTACATCCCCATCCTTGCGGGGGATCATTGGTGCGCATTGGAGGTTGTCCAAAGTGCCCAGCAGACACAAAACATCACTGTCGTCACGGTGCAAGTGCCACCACACCTCCACACAAGGATCATCATGATCCTGGCACGATTTCTGGACATCGGTCCACACCGGATGAACATCATTCATCACGACTCCAGCTGGACACCCCACCTTTGCGGCTGGGAACTCCTCTACAGGTGGGCGGGAGACCACCAAGTACGGGACACAATCGCCACTTCAGACACTCACAACCCAATGTCTGAGAACAACCGTGACATGATTGACATTGTCTTGCAATCAGCAGTGGAAGACTGGAGAGCAGCAGAAGCACCGCATGGGCTGGTCCAATTCGCATTCCGACTCCGGGGGAACTTTTTCCTCTCCTTGCTGCGCAGAACGGCGAACAATGGCCAGATCGCCAATCAGAGACCCCTATACACAGCACATCCGCCAGGCTACAGGCCACAAACGGACCCGCCTACACTTGACAACCAGGCGGATCACCAGATCCAGTTCCGCATCAACACCAGGCTGCTTCACATCCAACTCAACCCCACCTGGATGCATTCTGATGAAATTGACTTCATTTTGGAAGGACCCAGATCCTTACTTCCAGATGTCCTTTTCTGCCCTCCAGCCACGTGGGACCCTATCAATGAAGCCCTGAACTTCATCTCCAGGCCATCACCGGTCTATGGTCCCTACCGCCACATTGTGTGGATCATTGAAACCGACCAGCACTGGTTCCAAATGGAATGTTACAAGTCACAGCACCAAGCCACCTTGTACATCACGGCGCCCAGTGCAGACTTTGAACGACTCCAGCCCTTGGTCCAGCAGCTCCGACAAGCACTTGGCTACAATGAAGCAACGTTTGTGGTACACGCCATGAACCAGTTCCACCCACCTGGCATGTGTGGACACCAACTGGTTCTTAGCATTTACAACAGACTCAACATACAGCTTCCCATCCTGGCCATCCAGCAGTTTGAGGAGATCCAAGATGGACCCCACTCAGCACCGATTGCACACATCACACAGCAGGCCGTTGCGAGATGGTACAATGCCAATGCACCGCCCTATCTTCGTGATTTTGCCTTACATGCACGTCAATGGTTCCTCCTGCGGGTCACACGCAACCAGTTTCCAGATGTCTACATGGCAGCGGGTACACAGACACCGGCCCCAATGGATGTGACACCAGGCCCAGATCCTTCCAGCCAACCTGCACATCCGGCAAAAGGAGGAGCAGTGGACATCCTTGTGCAGAACGACCCCTGGCTCCGGAAAGGACCCAAACCGACCCAATCCAAATGGGAAGACCTGTCTCTGCAAGCGCCAATTCCCTTCATTGGAGCTGACGGGAAACCCTTGAAGCAGGTCCACAGATTGCAAGTTTCCCAATCAAGAGCTGGGGTTGTTCTTGCCACGAAGACTCATGTGGCAGAACTTCTGAAGGCGGCCGCGGGCCTTGACCTCGCCATTGTGATCCCAACCACAGATGGCACCAAGCCACCAGGTCTTTCCCAGGAGTTCACGGGTCCATACGAGATCACAGTTGATGACCAAATGACCCAGACAGCGTACAAGCGCTTAGCCCTCCTCCATGTTGCGGCTGGCAAGGCCTCCTACCAACTGGCAACACCCAAACTGAAGATGACAACTTCAGCCATCACCGAATTGGTCTTGGAAGCTGACTCAAGGCTTATGACCAAGCAGGAGCTTGACAAACTAACGGAACAGCCTGTTGCAACCATCAAACAGCACTTGCACCAATTGCTGCCCATCATTGCCAATGCGGCCACGTACTATGGCCTGCGCACCAACAAGCACCCTGGTGCTCCGAAGGGCGAACAACAAATCCAATGCATCGTGAAGGTGCCCCAGTCCTCCCGCTCCGCCATCCTGGAGCTATCAGGACGCACCTTCCTGCTGACACGTGACTTCCTTGATCACCAGCAGATACCACAAGACACCACGGTGCTACCCAAATTCTGGGCGGCTACATTGCAAGATCTTGCTGACATGAGGATCGCCACTCACGGCGTCGAGGGGGCGGCAGGCATCATCGCTACCCGTCGTGGCTTGGCGCTACGAGTCTGGGCAAAACAAATCGCAGCGGCACGCCTTGCTCTGCTGCCAACAGATCAGCGCCTCACAGACGACAATAGACATGTTGTCCCAAGGGTCACCATCCAAGCTTCCGGATGGCCACCAGGCACAGAGCCTCCCCAGCTCATCAAGTCCACCCTTGATGCCACGGGCATTGCGATGGTCCCAACGCGCACATTCCGTGCCGCGGGCGTCCACGTCTGGATTCTGACTGCCGAATCCATCCCCAAAGTGACCAGGTTCACCTTGGATGTCAGCCGTGGATTGCTGACGCAGAGGTTGGTATTCTTGCACAAGTAGCTGAGAACTCCATTCTCTCGCTGTGTCATGACCAGGTCAATGTTGTGGCCACTATGTCACCGCCATGCCAACCCTGGTCGACAGGAGGCAGGCATCAGGGACTCTCGTGCGCTAATGGGTGGGCCTTCATTGATGGGCTGTTGTTTGGCTTTAAGCTGCAAGTCAACATGATGGCAGTGGAATGCGCCGACAACATTGTGAACCATGAGCATTTCGCCATCCTCACCCAAATTGCAAAGCAGCTTGGGTACAGACTCGTGTGGGCCCAAGTGACACCTCTAAATCATTTGGCACCACAAATGCGCACGAGATGGCTGGCCACATGGGTCCGTTTCGATCTGGATGCTAAGTACTATGATGGCAGGATCACACCACATGTCATTCCACGCACCAGATGGACTGACCAGGACTTCTCATTTCAGGTGCCAAGAATCTGGGAAGAACAATTGCTTCTGTCTGACTCGGAGAAAGAGTTTTATGGCGATGTGAATTTCTTGCCCCCATCCAAGCGGGGGTTGTTTGGTGGTGGTGGACCTGTTTCACAAACTCAGGTCCTTTATGCAAGAATTCCAAAAGAAGAAGAACCATTGCCAACTCTCTGCGCATCCTATACGGCCCAGCATGAATTGGACAGTTCACACCTTGAAGCTAAAGGGGCTTTTGCCTTTTTGTGCATGCAACCGAAGGGCTTCTCGTTTTTCGACCCTGCCCTTTTTGTCTCATTGCTGGGAGCCACTGAGGATTGCACCCTGTCAGCGAAGATTCGAGAGGCATTTCATGGTCTTGGCAACGCCATTGCAACGCCACATGCGTTGCTGCCAGTGATGATTGGACTTCTTTCGGTCTCGCAGGACCCTATCGACATACATGACATGCTGCAGAAGTGTTGGCATGATCGCCTCACTGCTTCAAATGCAATTGTTTGCCACACAGGGAACTGGGTCCGAATCGTCCATGTTTCGAGCATTGCCAAGTTTCTTT